TTACTGAGATGGTGGATCTGTGATGTACTGAGGTAGTCGAGGTTTGTATGAAAATGGTTGGACACCTTGTAGTGATGGTAGATCTGTGATGTACAGAGGAAGTCGAGGTATGTATGGAAATTGTTGGATACGTTACTGAGATCGTGGATCTGTGATGCACTGAGGTAGTCGAGGTATGTATGCAAATGGTTGGACACCTTGTAGTGATGGTAGATCTGTGATGTACTTCGATAGTCGAGGTATCTATGAAAATGGTTGGACACCATGCAGTAATAGTAGATAGGTGATGTACTGAGGTGGTCGAGGTATGTATGAAAATGGTTGGACGCCTAACAGTGATCTTTGATCTGTTATGTACTGAGGTAGTCGAGGTATGCATGAAAATAGCTGGACACCTTATAGTGATGGTAGATCTGTGATGTACAGAGGAAGTCGAGGTATGTATGAAAATAGTTAGATACCTTATAGTGATGGTAGATCTGTGATGTACAGAGGAAGTCGAGGTATGTATGAAAATTGTTGGATACGTTACTGAGATGGTAGATCTGTGATGTACTGAGGTAGTCGAGGTATGTTTGAAAATGGTTGGACACCTTGTAGTGATGGTAGATCTGTGATGTACTGAGGTAGTCGAGGTATGTTTGAAAATGGTTGGACACCTTGTAATGATGGTAGATCTGTGATGTACTGAGGTAGTCGAGGTATGTATGAAAATATTTGGATACCTTACAGTGATGGTAGATATGTGATGTACTGAGGTAGTCGAGGTATGTATGAAAATGGTTGGACACCATGCAGTAATAGTAGATATGTGATGTACTGAGGTGGTCGAGGTATCTATGAAAATGGTTGGACACCTAACAGTGATCTTTGATCTGTTATGTACTGAGGTAGTCGAGGTATGCATGAAAATAGCTGGACACCTTATAGTGATGGTAGATCTGTGATGTACAGAGGAAGTCGAGGTATGTATGAAAATAGTTGGATACCTTATAGTGATGGTAGATCTGTGATGTACAGAGGAAGTCGAGGTATGTATGAAAATTGTTCGATACGTTACTGAGATGGTAGATCTGTGATGTACTGAGGTAGTCGAGGTATGTTTGAAAATGGTTGGACACCTTGTAGTGATGGTAGATCTGTGATGTACTGAGGTAGTCGAGGTATGTATGAAAATATTTGGATACCTTACAGTGATGGTAGATATGTGATGTACTGAGGTAGTCGAGGTATGTATGAAAATGGTTGGACGCCTTGTAGTGATGGTAACTGTGTGATGTACTCAAGTAGTCGAGGTATGTATGAAAATGGTTGGACGCCTTACAGTGATGGTAGATCTGTGGTGTACTGTGGTAGTCGAGGTATGTAAGAAAATGGTTGGACACCTTGCAGTGATGGTAGATCTGTGATGTACAGAGGTTGTCGAGGTATGTATGAAAATTGTTGGACACCTTGATATCACTGTTCACTATTCACCAGTTAATTGTAAATTAAATTAGTGGAAAAAATTACTGAACCTCCAAAAAATTGGTACAGAAATGTTTTTTTTGTTTATATCGTTTATAACAGTTATCCTAAACAATATATAAAAAGTCCTCCCTTGGATGTTGATTCTAAGATGCTTTTTGGGGGCAAAAACTGTGAAAAATGGTATTTTTCAATTATTGTTTTCGAACTGAAAATATGCCCAGAATATGGTATAAAATGTTGCAAAACATGCAACTAAAGTGAACAAAATAGTAAATAATGACAATCAAAATTGAAAAAATAACAAGACATGAGGTTTGAACTTGGATTTTGGACGCTCTAGCGCATAGGAAATGTGTAAATGAGAGTTATCCTCCCTTTGTTTTCAATAGATTGAAGTAGCAGACTTGACAGAAAAGGTTCCATCTTTTATAAAACTCAAACTAGATGAGGATATAGTTAAATAAATAGATAAAGGATTAAAAAGACAGCTAAAAGCTACAGCTAAAGGAGATAATGAGGACTGAGGTGATTCTGCTCCCATAATTAGCCCACAGAACTATATGCACTGCGGTTGTGTAAGACTACGCACCTAGGTGATAAATGGGACATTCTGTATCAAGATTTAAGAGAACTTGAAGAAAGATATGACAAAATGACAGATTAGGAAAATATTATAACATTTATATTTTCCATTCTGTATATTAATTTTAAAACAATTTCAAAGGTGATTGAAGGATAGCCCTGTTCTCTTTTAACTTTAACTGGCAACTAAATATTATCATGTGAGCAGAACTGAGTGAACCTTAGTATAGCTGGTAATTTTTTCTTCCGATTTAAAATCTCAGGTACATTTAAAAAAACGGACTGAAATCTACATGAAAAAACTTGAAATTGATTCACATAAAATGGATATATAACCCATATTTTTAATGAAAAACATGCCAATCTTTCTTTAAATTGGAAAAAATCATTAACTTAGGCTCCATGTAGTGAGTGCGTTTAGTTTTACACCACACTCAACAATATTCCAGCTATATAATAGCGGCGGTCTATAAATAATTTAGTCTGGACCAGACAATGCAGTGATCAACAGCATGATCATCAATGCATGGGATATGACGACATGTGTCCACGAAGTCAGCGAGCCTGACCACCCGATCCCGTAAGTCGCCTCTTACGCCAAACATGGTTTACTGAAGATCAATTCTAACCTGGATCTTCACAGGTGCTAGGCTACTTGTTAAAAGCTCTAGTAAGGTTTTGAAAGTGCAGCCAGTATTGTCCTTTTTACAATGTGTAACGATATCGGTATATATTATACTGAAATTACTAAAGGACAAATGTTTTAATAGTAGGTGGCGCATGTTTGTTTCCCAACCGTCTTAAAATTTTAATCAGGAAACGAAAAGATTTCGGACTGACACAGGAATGACTATATATCCCGTGGTATAACATGTCGCTGTGGATTATTGTTATAACATCATGTACAATTCGATGCACCGGTAAATGGAAAACTATTGCAAGCAGCATTGAATCAAATCACCTCACTCAACCACATCTCAAATATTCAAGTTAGCCTGAACACAACCCTTCCAATTATTGGACTCCTGTTACTGTTTAGTTTTGCTTGGAATATCATTCACACCAAGCATGATTCTCAAAATGAATTCAAATATACAGACAATGAGACCAAGGGTATCTCTGTCACCCCATTGAAAAGCCCTTGGTGTTAAGGGTCACTGTCAGTGTAGCTCAAGCCACCTGTTATGTGATTTAATATCTTGTTCAGTCATTACTATCTCTAGTTACAGAGGAGCTAAGTGCAACGCTTCCGAAAATGAGTCAGTTCATTCAGTGTGCAGTGATAATGTAGATCAATCTGAGAGCAGGGATTGACGCATACGATGACGATTCAGGCCAAACAGGTGACTGTTTGCCAAGGTTGCCGAGGTGTTGATGCTCTAAAAGAGATGGGTTCATATGTCCTTTACCAAGCAATTTTTTCAGACTTTGCTGAATTAAATTGCTTGATGTCTTGAACAATTCATGTAGAATAAAATGAATCACTAGATTGTAACATTCTCAGTACTGAGTTATGTCACCTCCATGCCTATGATCAACCTGAATCCCATTCTCTTGGAATTCAGCTGGTTGTATTTGACAGATAATATCTCACATAGGACACTTCAATCGGTTCCATGAGGTTACAGCAGAAACGTATTGGTGTGGATTTCAACCTTTAGCAATAAATATACACTCTTCTTTCAGTAAACCTAAACCTAGTGTCATAGACAAATACCTGGAGAGCAAAGGCACCATTTAGTTTCTTAATGGAAATTCTATTGGCTTTGGAGATAGCCACTGCATGTATACTACCATGAAAAGTCAAACTGATTGCCAAGCAAGGAAAAAATATATATACATTTCAACATCTTAAAATACCACAGGGCTCTAGTTCTTAACTTGATCCCCTCTCTGTTCAAAGTTTATGAATGAACGTGTGTTAGTTTAGAGATATGGAATGAAATTTCAATTATTAGAGACTTACCTTTGCATGGACATACAAGCTGTCTACTATACTACAATAAATAGACATCTGTACTATCAAATATGTGAGAACAGATTCTCCATATTGATAGAGGATAGTTCTCTTTCAGAAAAATATAAACTTTGAGACAAAGAGGAACTAAATTGTCTGCTCCCGAAGTTGTGTTTATTTTACCCTTCAAAATAGAAAATATATGCTCTGAAAAGTCTTTTTATTCTATGGTTTTATTAAAATTATGAGTTTTCCAGCCCATGAATTAGAAGTTCCTTGTGTCCTCGTTGAAAATATACACATAAAAATACATTTGAGGCTCAATATGAGATTTATAAAATGATTCTCTGAAAATTTCAACTTTTTTTTATCCCATAATAGGATTTAGGATACGTATATTTGACTTTTGTAACCTATGTATTACTAGTACCTTGTGTTCTCTTTGAAAATATCCATAGAAAGTACATTTGTGTCTCAATGTGCAATCTAAAAGAATATTCTCTGAAAATTTCATTTTTTTAAACTTCTTACTCAAATATAGGACTAGACATAAAGTAATTTGACTTTTCCAGACCACTTATATGTAGTACCTTGAAGTCTTTGTTAGAATATACATAAAAAGTACATTTGTGTCTCAATATAAGATCTTAAAAATATTCTCTGAAAATTTCAAATTTTCACTTTTTTTACCTTAAAATAGGACTTTGCATAAAATTATTTGACTTTTCTAACCCATTTATTAGTAATATCTTGTGTTCTCTTTGAAAAAATATATATAAATGTATATTTGTGTCTCCATATGAGATTTTAAAAATTATTCACCAAAATTAACATTTTCAACGTTTTACCCCCCAAAATAGGACTTAGCAATATATTTCAATGAAGGACTTTGTAGTACACATTGGTAATAACTCAAACATGTTCAAAACACTGAAATCATTTCTGCACCAATTTTTTGGAGGTTTAGTCACATTTTGACTGGACTATTTAGTAACAGCGGACTTACACCGAGGGCCATTCAAAGTTTCGGTTTTGGAAGAGGGAGGATTTGGTTGGATAACGTGAATTGCAGCGGAGCCGAATCACGTTTGGCCAACTGTTCACACAGATCATGGGGCATCCACAATTGTGGCCATAGAGAAGATGTTGGCATCATATGTGATCCAAGTAAGTTCTCAACTAGACACGTATTTACTGAAATATAAAAGACATTATTTATCATTTAGCTATGGTTATTGTGCAGCTTGCTCATGGCTATTGTTTGAAAAGAGCCATGATCCTCAAGAGGAAAGTACAACGGGAACCAACAATGCATTCAATTAAAGGGAGAGAAAGAAACATTTAGAGAAAACCTATTTTTCGCAAGAGTAATCATTACGCAAGAAGAGAGGGTACTACAGTTCGGACCCGCACCCCAAATATTCGTTTTCGATCGGTCCACTTGATCGGACGGAACCATCCGTTCCAGGTAAGGAAGTACTGTCGGAAACAGATAAATACTGGTTAGGCTGTTACTCTGTATCCCTAAAATTTACACAATTACAAATAGAACCCACCAATAACTTTTTTGACTGTTCCTCTATGTCCCTACCACTGTAGTCTGTAGTCAGGCCGAACTTAGTTTAACGGAAATTTCATACTTTCACATATTGACTACATACATTGAAGATATAAATGCGAAAAACGTGATTTTTTTTCTCTTTCTGACAGTATTATAGTCACCTTTTACGACAAGCATTTGTTGCTGAATACCAATTCTTGCCTGGGTTTTCACCTGTCAAATGGCGAAATGCGTAAAAGCTGGTGTCAAAATTTTGATTTTACACGATCTGTATCCCGCACACGAAGATATCCCTTTGCGGTGGTTCAGGAAAACTTAAGTCCACGTCATCGTCCGATTATCAAGCGACAATGGCTGATGTTTTATAGAGTGCCTGGGTTCTCCACCAGCAACACAGCCCTTCTGACACTCTGGGTAATGCAGAAGGCTGCAGTGTTTGGGGGATCTTCATATTCTCCGGAAAGTTCTCGGTGGGTTCGACTTATCAGCATTTCCTGGAAGAAGTCCCATTCGCTGTTTGGGCTGCATGTAGAGGACGCTAGGGCCCTGAACTATTGATCAGCCTTACCAGTCTGTCTGTGTGTCAGGATCACCCGAAACCTCTCAGCTGCATTTTCCATCTTAGTCTGAACAAAACATAATAATAGTCCATTTGCCATGCACATTTCTCAATGCACAATGCATGCTCGAAGCGCCAAAACAATCTGTGCATTACTAATACCCCGGATAACCCATGGTGCCTGCTGTGCTAGAAGGTTATAGTCACATGACTGTATCCCACCGGATACCCATTTTCTGCTGGGTGAACTCACATGTATTAACATGACAACCCTTCACTGCAGACATCTCATGGCACTGTCGACCACCGCGTTCCAGATTCCCGGTCAACATATGATACACAGACTTGCTCGACAAGTTGCGGGAGGATTATAGGAGAAAATCCCATAAGAGGTCCATAGACTTGTTCCGCGTGTGCTACGGAGGTGCAGAACTGTGACAACAGCAAGCAGTGCTCACATCAAGAACCGTTCTCAACAGCCCCTCTGTATTGCATTAATGTCAACAAAACATGTTGTGTCATCATGCTACATTTCATCTTCGTAGTGATCGAATTCAGTGAATGTGTCCATATACGTTAACACAGTACACTGTTTTCAAAGTCAGACTATGCGTTTAATTTTTGAACAATGTGTAAGGGAACGTTTAATGTGTTTTGTTATTCTTCTTCACCAGCTGACATAACGATGAAGCTGACTCCGAACTACAAAAAGGGACTCCTACGGGTACTCCACTCTGGTATCTGGGGCACAGTGTGTGATGATGGCTTTGGACAAGTAGAAGCTTCAGTTGTGTGCAGGGCTCTGGGGTACCAGTAAGTAATATGACTGTTAAACAAGCCGATTACAAGCAGCCAAACGTTAAACCAAACCTACCTACATGTATATACGTATAACAAAGATAAACTATTCAGGTTTGCAAAGGTGTAGTTCCCTCTATCTTTATGGGGCGGTTGGGTAGCCTAGTAGTTAAGGCTTTTGATTAAGTCCTGGGTTCGATTCCCTAGATGGTTGCAATGGGTGAATCCCATTTCTGGTGTCCCCCGCCGTGTTAATGCGGGAATATTGCTAAAACTCACTCTTTTTTATTATTACAGAGGAGGGAAGGTAATCAATGAAAGCAGTTCTAATAAAATGTGGCTGGATGACGTCAAGTGCACGCTGCTGAACACAGATCTAAAGGACTGCAAACACCGGCCATGGGGGGTGGATAACTGTGGCGATTCAGAGGCTGTTGGTGTCGAGTGTTTTTCATTTCCTGAAGGTATGGTTTGGATCCATTTCTCGTGACACTGATCACTCTTCATGAGTAATATCTGTAGAATACGACATGCTTCCTGTATTCGCGAACACCTGCCATCATCACCTTAGAGAAAAACGTGCTTATGATTTTTGTTTCAAGCGTACAACTTTGGCATGTTCCTTGTGCTTTTATCCCAAATCGGCCTTTGCATTCACAGTGAAATTCAGCATGTACGAGGGGCTGTCAAAACGTAGTGATCCTCACCAAGAAAATGATACAAATACAGCTGTTTTTATGTAACGTTATTTTTTTCTACATGTTAACTGTCAACCTCGAGCATATGGGTTTTGGTATGTCCCAGCCTCACGATCTCCATTCTGTTTGTATTATAATCTTCGTACTCCCCTCCCTCACCCGATTAAAAAAAGACAGCCCCCGTCTAAATCAAAATCAAGCACTCCAAATCTTTCAAATGTTTGAAGGGCATTTAGTAGTGGAATACATAAGAAAAGCAAGATTTATGGATGTCAACTTCCTTATTGTGAATAACACGACGTGTCGGAGTGTATGCTTGCTCCGTCATCAGGTGAATAGTAGGGAGTTATTAGTTAGTTATTTGTTTTATTTAACGTCGCACGCACAACTAAGGTATTTCGGCGACGGGAATGGTAGGGAGTACAATATATATATGAGGCCAGCGATACACTAAAACGACATGGTAATATGATGGGATATAATACAAACACGAGGAGGCCAGTGATACACTAAAACAACATGGTAATAATGATATAATACAAATGAGATATAATACAAACACGAGGATAATACAAAGTGATACACTAAAACAACATGGTAATAGATGTGATGGGATATAATACAAACACGAGGAGGTCAGTGATACACTAAAACAACATGGTAATAGATGTGATGGGATATAATACAAACACGAGGAGGTCAGTGATACACTAAAACAACATGGTAATAGATGTGATGGGATATAATACAAACACGAGGAGGCCAGTGATACACTAAAACAACATGGTAATAGATGTGATGGGATATAATACAAACACGAGGAGGTCAGTGATACACTAAAACAACATGGTAATAGATGTGATGGGATATAATACAAACACGAGGAGGCCAGTGATACACTAAAACAACATGGTAATAGATGTGATGGGATATAATACAAACACGAGGAGGTCAGTGATACACTAAAACAACATGGTAATAGATTTGATGGGATATAATACAAACACGAGGAGGTCAGTGATACACTAAAACAACATGGTAATAGATGTGATGGGATATAATACAAACACGAGGAGGCCAGTGATACGCTAAAACAACATGGTAATAGATGTGATGGGATATAATACAAACACGAGGAGGTCAGTGATACACTAAAACAACATGGTAATAGATGTGATGGGATATAATACAAACACGAGGAGGTCAGTGATACACTAAAACAACATGGTAATAGATTTGATGGGATATAATACAAACACGAGGAGGCCAGTGATACACTAAAACAACATGGTAATAGATGTGATGGGATATAATACAAACACGAGGAGGCCAGTGATACGCTAAAACAACATGGTAATAGATGTGATGGGATATAATACAAACACGAGGAGGCCAGTGATACGCTAAAACAACATGGTAATAGATGTGATGGGATATAATACAAACACGAGGAGGTCAGTGATACACTAAAACAACATGGTAATAGATGTGATGGGATATAATACAAACACGAGGAGGTCAGTGATACACTAAAACAACATGGTAATAGATGTGATGGGATATAATACAAACACGAGGAGGTCAGTGATACACTAAAACAACATGGTAATAGATTTGATGGGATATAATACAAACACGAGGAGGCCAGTGATACGCTAAAACAACATGGTAATTGATTTGATGGGATATAATACAAACACGAGGAGGCCAGCGATACGCTAAAACAACATGGTAATTGATTTGATGGGATATAATACAAACACGAGGAGGCCAGTGATACGCTAAAACAGCATGGTAATACATGTGATGGGATATAATACAAACACGAGGAGGTCAGTGATAGGCTAAAACAACATGGCAATTGATAGGTTATAGAATGACACAGTAATGATAGGGTATAGAAGAATAACACGGGGAGGCCAGTGATACCGTATAACCATGAGGTAAGGGAGGCCAGCATGCACTACAAACAAGAGTGACTATGGAAGCCGTTTTGCTCAAACCGTTCATTCCCGCCTGCGACTTGGCTGCAGTGACCTCAATGCTCACAAATATGAAAGATACATTTTAGAAAGTCCGATATGCTCATGTGGACTAGCAAATGAGGATAGTTTTCACTTTTTTCTTTACTTGTCCAATATATACTGTAACTTGAAATAACATGTACTTTTGCCAAAAGGATATACATAAGACTCAGTATTATTCGGAAATGTCCATGCAACTGCACCTGTAAATATGCAGATTCTTGAATCTGTTCATTTATATATCGTAAAATCAGGCAGATTTGTACGCCCTTTTCTCAAGATAATGATTGTTTACTCTCAACCTATGATGTCGACATACCTCTCTTCTTTTTTGGACTATGTACAGCGTATACATGACTAACAGCCAAACTATGTAATTATTATTTGTTTTGTAAGGGAGAGGTGTTCATATAAGCTTACAGCTTGTTCACCGATCCCTATTCAATTTAATTTGAATAAAAATATGTTGAATGTTTAAACCACATGGGATGAGAAGGTATGTATTTAGATAAGTGAGTCCCAAGAACATGGTAGGTAGATTCCTTGGTCACGGTTCATTGCTGGCTGACGTTTCCGTATGTCTATGGCTTCCTGAAGCTTCCTTTGGCGCCAGTTGTTGTTGCTGGACAGGATTTTGGTGGCTTCCCGTTTGATGGTGTGGTCCTTGTTCTTTAGGATGTGTTCCGATATGGCAGACTTCTGGTCGAGCTTGTTGACGGAGGCCTGGTGTTCCTTGAGTCTTGTGTTGACAGGTCGCAGCGTTTCTCCGATGTACATTTGTCCGCAACTACATGGAATTTAACAGATGCATCCTCTTGGGTTGGGGCTTGCAGTGCTGGATCCTCTGCCGTTCGCTCTTAGAAGATTCTTGATGATCTTGCCACTAGAGAATGTGACGTCAATACTGGCTTGGTTCTTGATGATGATCTTGTGGATGATAGGTCCTATGTATGGAATTGTCATTCTGATGAGGGATGGAGCAGGCTTGGAGCTGGTCTCTGTGGTGTTAAGGGTCTTTTGATGGTCTTGGTGACAAGGACTACTTGAACGCTCATTGTTTTGATAGACATATTTCAAATAATCCGAATTGTGCATGTGCGTATCCATGGGAAGATTCTCTCCATTACTTCTTTTCTTGCCCTTGTTATGACTTAATAAGATCAGACAAATACTTCTACACTAATGGTTTTGACTTAAATTCAGTTCTCCATGGTAATCAAACTTCAAGCAACATCATAAATCAGCTCATTCTTGACTCTGTTCACAAAAAAACATACTACTTTCAAATAGATTTAAGTTTTTCTAAACTGTAACTAGCGAATCATTTAATGTAACTTTATAGACGTTTTGCTGTTATTATGCATTTCTACTGCTTTCAGGCTATTCAAAACAATTCGTGTCAACATCCAGTTTTACTTGACATAATTGAATTACATAATAAACTTGCTAATGTAGAATAGTTGTTCTTTTAATGATCGGCTAAATTTCTGCAATATCGCCAACACCTGAGGGGATGGTGTAAATCCAGCTGGGGTCCATGCAGAAAAGTAAGAGTACTGTAAGTCCCCATGGTCCCTGGTATGGTGATCTACCTTCAGTTGCTGGCGATCAGTAGCTTGTTATTTTATTTTGTATTGTTTTCTGCAGTCATAGATTTTAGTACAACATACAAGTTTTTAACCAAATCTGTGATATTCTTGTATTTTTACTGTCCTTCGACGACAGGTTGATATGGTATATATTTATTGTGGTTTAATTGCAACTTTCCAATGCCCATTCCCCTGCTCAGTCGCTAGTCTAGGCATCGTTTGTGTGGCGTGTACACCTCCTGGCGTTACTACTGAACTGTTTGACAGGGTTTATTATTTACCTTTATTTATTACGAATTTATAACTTGTTTTAAGTCACGATATGTTTGAAGTCTTGCCTATGTCACTTAATATCTTAACGCACTCACTTACTCCAATTCTGAATGCCATTTTCTGTTAAGACATGTTATCTTCAATATCAAGATGATGGTTATGCACAAATCAATATCTTTGGAATGAACATGTATGTTAGAGTCAAACCAACACCTGATATCAACACATTTATCCAAATTATGCTATCATTATGTCTACCTCAGAGGCTACCGAGGCAAGACTTTTCTCCGCCACCAACGAGTCAGAAGAAGGAGTTCTGGAGCTGTTCTATGGAGGACGGTGGGGAAGAGTTCGTTACTCTGGGTTTGGAGTCGAAGAAGCAAAGGTTGCCTGCAGAATGTTGGGATACAACACGTAAGACATATAATGATATTCTTCTTGTCTGAAACCTCAGGACTGCCTCCGTGGTGTAGTGGTTAGAGCGTCCGCCCGGAGAGAGGAAGGTCGCGGGTTCGATCCCCGACTGCGTCATACCAAAAGACGTTAAAATATGGCACTTGTTGGTCCCTGCCTGGCGCTCGGCATTAATGGGTACAACAAGGTCGGCTCGGAGTCAGTATAATGTGTCTGAGTGGGGTATTCATGCTTCACTGCGGCATGGTATCTCAGTGGTCTAGCACTATAAGACCAGCTTCCGTCTGGGCTAGTACAAGCCGCCGCACATACACATACACACGCATGCACGTCGTCATATGAGCGAAATATTCTCAAGCACGACGTTAAAACCAAATTTCACCTCACCTGAAAAGTCAGTCTATACATCCAATGTCATTTTCCTTTATGTGAAAAATATGAAGTATGGGTTTTTTTCAGTAAGCACCCTATTAAAATTCCACGATATAGATTTGACACACCTTTGACCATTTTTTCAATAAACCCAGCAAATGTTTTAAAACAGTTTGATACACTCTTATTTACATTTAGCATATCAGCCAAAGCCAGCTCATTTTCAAACACCGGCAGCGAATCACGACGTGATATCGTAGAAAAGGTTCATTGTCTGGGCACTGAACTCACTCTGAACGAATGTATTCATTACCCTTGGGTTAAGGATAACTTGTCATCATCAAGAGTAGTCCGAATACAGTGTCCTAACGGTAAGTAAAGATGTTTATTGAGACTCTGATAAAGAGGGTGCAATATTATGTCTTGTTGTAACAGTTCATTGCTTCATTGAATTACACAATGCCATTTTAGAAAGTGGTCAAATGCAACATATGTTATATTTAGAATTAAACTTTCTCAGTAAAGTACAGATTCGAACCCACACTCTCAGAGTCAGGCACCTAATCGCGTGCACACAAAAGCAGACGCCTAGACCGCTCAGCCACCGCGGCTTCCACAAAATGGAAGTCGGACAACTGGTAGTCTAGACTGCGGACTTTGTGTTCCCCTCTGATAAGCGTTAATTGGCTGGGCTCCCACGTCCGAAAGCTATGAAATACACAATACCATTTTAAAAAGTGAGTGAGTGAGTTAAAATTTAAAGTCACATTGGCAATATTTCAGCCATATCGTGACTGAAAGTGGTCAAATGTAACATATGTTATATTTGGGATTACACTTTCTCAGTAAAGTACAGATTCTAGTACTTTTTTAAGGATGACTTTCATCCGGGAATCGAACCCACACCCTCAGAGTCATGCACTTAATCGCCAGCACACAAAGTCAGACGCCTAGACCAATCACAGGGATACACAAAGTCCGCAGTCTAGACTACCAGTTGTCCGACTTCCATTTTGTAAAAGCCGCGGTGGCTGAGTATGAAATATCAATTTGTGAGGTGTGACGTGTAGGCAGGTTTGACAATTTTTTCCAATTTGTGACGTGAGGTGGTGTGACGTGAAGGCAGGTTTGACAATGTGGTGATGTGGTGTGACGTGGAGGCAGGTTTGATAATGTAGTGATGATGGGGTTGTGTGACGTGGAGGCAAGGTTTGTTGTGTGAAGGCAGGTGTAGTGATGTGGGGTGGTGTGACGTGGAGGCAGGTTTGACAATGTAGTGATGTGGTGTGACGCGGAGGCAGGTTTGACAATGTAGTGATGTGGGGTGGTGTGACGTGGAGGCAGGTTTGACAATGTAGTGATGTGGTGTGACGTGGAGGCAGGTTTGACAATGTAGTGATGTGGGGTGGTGTGACGTGGAGGCAGGTTTGACAATGTAGTGATGTGGGGTGGTGTGACGTGGAGGCAGGTTTGACAATGTAGTGATGTGGTGTGGTGTGACGTGGAGGCAGGTTTGACAATGTAGTGATGTGGTGACATGGTAGTGGAAGGTGACAGGTAGTGATGTGGGGTGGTGTGACGTGGAGGCAAGGTTTGACAAATGACAATGTAGTGAGTGGACGTGGCTGTGACAATGTGACGCAGGGCAGGTTTGACAATGTAGTGATGTGAGGTGGTGTGACGTGGAGGCAGGTTTGACAATGTAGTGATGTGGTGTGGTGTGACGTGGAGGCCTGGTTTGACAATGTGATGATGTGATGTGGTGTGACGTGGAAGCAGGTTTGAGGCAGGTTTGACAATGGAAATGTAGTGATGTGGTGTGGTGTGACGTGGAGGCAGGTTTGACAATGTAGTGATGTGGTGTGACGTGGAGGCAGGTTTGACAACGTGATGTAGGGTGGTGTGACGTGGAGGCAGGCTGGTTTGACAATGTAGTGATGTGGGTGGTGTGACGTGGAGGCAGGTTTGACAATGTAGTGATGTAGGGGATAGCAACGATTGGAGGCAGGTTTGACAATGTAGTGATGTGGGGGTGGTGTGACGTGGAGGCAGGTTTGACAATGTAGTGATGTGGGGTGGTGTGACGTGGAGGCAGGTTTGACAATGTTGTATGGTGTGGGTGGTGGACAACGTGGAGGCAGGTTTGAACGGACAATGTAGTGATGATGGGGTGGTGTGACGTGGAGGCAGAGGTTTGACAATGTAGTGATGTGGGGTGGAGTGTGACGTGGAGGCAGGTTTGACAATGTAGTGATGTTAGGTGCTGTGACATGGCAGGTGTGACAATGGATAGTGATATGGTGTGCCGTAGAGCAGAGTTTGACAATGTGAGTGGTGTGACGTGTGAGGGTGTGACAATGGATGGACGTGGAGGCAGGTTTGGACAATGATGTAGAGGTGGTGTGACATGGTGGGTGGTGTGTGTGACGTGGAAGGCAAGGTGTAGTTGACATGGAGGTAGTGATGTGGGGGTGGTGTGACGTGGAGGCAGGTTTGACAATGTAGTGATGTGGTGAAAATGTAGTGATGTGGGGTGGTGGACGTGGAGGCAGGTTTGACAATGTGTAGTGATGTGGGATGGTGTGACGTGGAGGTAGGTTTGACAATGTAGTGATGTGGGGAACGTGACAATGGAATGAGTGGTTTGACAATGTAGTGATGTGGTGTGGTGGACGTGGAGGCAGGTTTGACAATGTAGTGGATGGAATGGAGGAATGGACAAGTGGAGGACAATGGTGGAGTTTGACAATGTAGTGATGTGGGTGGTGTGACGAGGAGGCAGGTTTGAAAGGAATGGATGGAATGGAATGGAATGGAATGGATGGAATGGAAGGAATGGATGGAGGAATGGAATGGAATGGAATGGAATGGAATGGAATGGAATGGAATGGAAGGAATGGAATGGAATGAAGGAAGGAATGGAATGGAAGGATGGATGGAATGGATGGAATGGAAGGAATGGAATGGATGGAATGGAATGGATGGAATGGATGGAATGGATGGGAATGGAATGGAAATGGATGGATGGATGGGATGGATGGATGGAATGGATGGAATGGAATGGATGGATGGGAATGGATGGAATGGAGGAATGGAAATGGAATGGAAGGAATGGAATGGACAGGAATGGAATGGCAGACTGCCGCCATATAGCTGGATTATTGCTAAGTGCGGCGTAAAACTAAACTCACTCAACTACTATGTCCCCGTCTTTTAGATACTCTGATCCACCTGGAGCCACCAGGTAGTGTCCTCAACGTCTTTCTTGGTCAGCCCATCAGTTTCAAGTGTGTGATCGATTACTCGAAGACTCCAGTTACTTCGTTCAGATGGACACACAGTGGACGTCGCTACAGCGGACAAACATTCAGTAAAACAATCACATCCAAGTCTGACTCGGACAACTTAACATGCAGTGTCCAGAATGTGGCGGTCTCCACTCGAATCAACGTGTGGTGTAAGTGTTCCATGGTATCCATAATAAAAGACATCAAAATGTTTTTAAAAGAATGGATAAAGGCATTTGGAAGAAGACACATGATTGTTTGGAGAGAAGTAGTGAGGAATTGTTTGTCTGACAAGCATTCAAGTATGCTCTTAAAAAAGTAGGGGAACTTCATTTTAAATTTACGATGAAAACAATCTGGAGATATATCTGAGTCAATCAGAGTTGATGGGATAATAATGAATGTTTTGAGAGTGCATCACCACTTGCACTTCCTTATGGCCATAGTCGTTTGCACAGTAATCGCTCTTGAAAGATGACTGGTGTATGACGTGAAAATTGGATGTGTAGGATTTTCATGTTCAAACAAAACAAGACCCGGTTGGAAACAAACACCGGCAACTGCGTGATGCAAGATGATTGTCAAAATCAATGGTCTACAGTGAGTTTTGGACCTTCTTGAAAACCGTCAAAATAAAGAATGACACATCATGCTCATGTATGGGGCTACTGTGTTGTGTACGTGCATCCCATGCGTTGTGTTTAGTGGTGGTGATAAAGAGAAATGGTGGTGCGTTCATAAGATAATAATAAGTAAGTCATCTTCTATAGCGCACAGTCTCCAAACACCAAGTGATTGCTCGCGGCGCTTAATCAGAATCTGATTCTTATTACCCCGGATAACCCAAGCTGCCTGTTAGGCGCTAGAAGGTTATAGTCACACGAATTTGTCCAACCGGGTACCCATTTTCTGCTGGGTGAACAGAGGCAATTTGAACAAACTCACTTGTCTAAGGTGAGACCACATGAATCACACGTTGTGGGGCAGGACTGAAGTCCTAGAAACTCTCAGGAGTCAAGCTGCCAAACACGGTCACCCATCCAAGGATTGCCAAAGCTCGACGTTGCTTAACTTCAACTGATTCGTGACCTGAGATGTTTGTCTTTGAGAACTTTGTTAACGCTTATACTTCCCATCCAAATGAGGTTCCCCTATTTTTAAAGGGTATATTTTTAAGCTTGGTTTAAGGTCATATTGGACACCTTGTGTGCTTGATGTGAAATGAAACCCAAAGGCATGTTGCTGAAAAATCAGTCATCAGAGTTAGGGTGAATATTGTAGTCAAACCATGATTACAGGTGTCTGGGGTGGTGAGGTGAAATTGGGTTTAGCGTCGTGCTTGAGAATGTTTCGCTCATATGACGACGTGCATGCGTGTGTATGTGTATGTGCGGCGGCTTGTACTAGCCCAGACTGGTTTTATAGTGCCAGCCCACTGAGATACCATGTCGCAGTGAAGCATGAATATCCCACTCAGACACATTATACTGACTCCGAGCCGACCAGTCCTTGTTGTACCCATTAATGCCGAGCGCCAGGCAGGGACCAACAAGTACCATATTTTAACGTCTTTTGGTATGACGCAGTCGGGGATCGAACCCGCGACCTTCCGCTCTCCGGGCGGACGCTCTAACCACTACACCACGGAGGCGGTACAGGTGTCTGGGAGGTCCTGACAGTTTACAGCCCCAATATCCAGTTGAGCCACCGATGCTACAAATATCACAAAGAAATCTCAAATATTTCATTTTACTATATTTACTCTTGTAAATTTAGATTTTATTTTCTATACTTGGTAATTAAGAACCACTACAGCAGACATTTGCCAATGCACACCCAGGGAAAACAGCGTTTCGGAGTATATACATATTCCTTTATCAGTAGTGGTTCTTAATTACTAAATGTAGAAAATAAAATCTTTGTGTTACTTATAATAGAGAAGTTGACAAGCCATTCATGAAATTGTCCTCCTTCCTTGTTCAACAAACATTGTAACATGTCATTCGTTTTACAAATTCCGTTTCATGTGATATTGCAGCATGCATAGTGTACAAAGTCTGCGTTTGACAATAGATCACATATATATATGTCTCCAGACCCGCCAGAGGTACATCTGGAACCGAAAAGTGACACCATTGATGTTGGTGTCGGTGAAGACCTCCGTGTGCAGTGTGTCGTGGATTATGCCAACCCTGCTGTCCGCACATTCAGGTGGTCTCACAACGGACGAACAAGCACAGGGTCGACCTTCCTCAAACGTGACATAACCAAGTCTGACCAAGGGCAACTGACCTGTACTGCTGACAATGGGCACATGATGACGCCTGGACGGGCAGATGCAACTATAAATATAAAATGTAAGGGCAATTGTTTACTTAATATTATTGCTCACTTGATTGATATTGGGAGATGAATTCAGGATTATACTTCAGTTTCATTGCACATGTATTGGAAGCTGTCCTTAACGCCCTGACGTCACATCGGTGCTATAATATTGAAGGAAACGTCATCCTCTGGTCGTTACATCATTTTGTTCAAACAATAAATGTAGTGCCAGTGAATGTAAGAGGTGAACTAGCAATACCCTATTTTACACAAAGATTTAGGGATGCATTCAGAACCACATACTCTTTAAACCAGACCGGTGACCATCAAATGTAGTTGGTTTGCAAATTATAATAACATTCATTTGGCATAAATAGCCCGTTTAGCCTCCAAGGTAATTAGCTATTCTCAACAAAAAAACATAAGGCTGTATGACGAAAGGGATGATGTCAACTTCCCGATAAGCAACATTCCCTTCATGTTGAGCTATTTTTGCTGTTAACAGTTCACAACTTCTGAGGTACATATAAAGAGTGTAGTACAACTCTTGCTCAGAACATGTTCAGTTAAGGTTAAAAAAATGTTTGATGCTTTTATTCACTTTACTTGGTTACATTTGAACAAGATATGTGGGTAGAGTAGAATGGTACAGGTTGCATAATAAAAAGCAGACAATGTATAACATATGGTACTGGGAATATAGATTAACAATTGAGATGCTAGCTAATATTACAGAGAATTGAACAAGAAAGACTAAAAAATAAATTACAGGACTGCATCTAGGACATTCCATTTTCTGTAAAAAATGTTTCATATTATCGTTTTTTTCTTCTCGATAAATTTCTCTATCTCGTAGACATCTTTTAATAATGTTCTGTAGATGGTGAAGCTAGGTTTGTGTCCTTTTATATTCATTACGAAAATGTGGCGCTTTGCCAATAGTATCATGTGGTTGAGTAAGTGGTTACTACTGCAACAAAATAGAATATCATGGTTTGACATTTCATACGTTTTACCAAGGACTTGAGTTATAAAATTGTTAAATTCTGACCAGAACATTTTGATGGTTGGACAATCAAGGTATACATGGTAAATATCCTCACTTACTGAACCACATAATGTACATAGGTCATTATCTATCAATTTCATTTTTAGTAATTCTCGTTTAGTGTAAATGACTCTATGCAAAAACTTATATTGAAAATCTAAGAGTTTCGTGTCTTTAGTGCATTGTCTATATTGTGAAAATATGGTTTTCCAATTTATCAACTCATTTAGTTCCCCGTTCCATTTGAGACACACATTCGGAATGTTATAGTCAGATATAAAATTATCATAGAATATCCTTGAACCTTTACTAGGTTTAATCAAATCGTTCCAAGGAGAGCACATAGATAACGACGGTATATTAAAATTGTTGTTTGTTCGTATAACTTCTTTCCACTGTTTGGGTATACTAAGGAGAACACGATTAAAGTCAAGTACAGTACCTTTAATACCAAATTTTGCCTTAAGTTCTGCAAATGTTAGAAATGCGTGGTCGTTACAAATATCTTTAATATAAACTATTCCACATTTAATCCAGTTATGAATGATCAAACTTGGCTGGTTACACTGGTGATTTAACCATAGTGGCTGCATGAGTATTTCATTAATGTCGTTATTGTTACATACCGATCTTTTAACATATCTATGCCAGGCATCAAGAGAATCTTTCCAAAATGGATTTTTAATATTATAATGTTTTGTGATGTTGGCTCCTAAAAAAAAGAAGGTTTTGTAGAGGGAAACCGGCGAGAGCATAGTTCTTAGGTTTTGAAATATATCTCTTCAAACATGAAAGTTTTAAAGAGTCGATAAAGGTTTTCACGTCGACCATTCTTAGACCATCTTCTTCGTACCTTCGTACTAAATTAATTCGTTTTATTTAATCAGTTTTATCATTCCATATAAATTTGAAGAATAATCTGTTCAAATCAGTAATAAATGTTTTTGGGGGATTAGGGGGAGAAGAGAGGATGTGGACAATCGTGGATAAAGCTAAACTTTTAACGACGGTTATTTTCCCTATCAACGTTAAATTGCGTCTTTTCCAATTCAGTAGAATTCTTTTTATATTTTCGAGTCTCTTCTTTGTATTGATTACCCATAGGTTTTCTAAATGAGCATTTAATTTGATTCCCAATACTTCGAAATTCTCATTATGCCAATCCAGCTTATAGTCCTGGGATAGAACTATTTTACTACCTGCCATTGAGCCTAGCCATACTACTTTTGTTTTATCAATATTTATTTTCAAACCTGACATCTTGTAAAAGGAAAGCAAAGTTTTCATAGCTTCATTTAGAGAGGTTTCGGAACCGTCCAAAAATAATTCAGTGTCATCTGCATACTGACCAATAACATGTTCCATGTCGTTTAAAACAATTCCTTTTATTCTGTGGTTGTCGCTGATCATTATTCCTGTTATTTCTGCTACCAATAAGAATAAATATGGAGATATGGGATCACCCTGTCTACATCACCTCTCATTATCGAAGAACGTGGACAAGTGACCATTCTGTATCATACACGAGGAGGCATTAGAAATCAATATGTTAACCCATCTTTGAATGTTACTTCCAAAACCAAACTTGTCTAGGACCATCTTAATGAATAATTTTGACACGGTGTTGGTGTCGAAAGCTTTTTCAAAGTCAATTAAGATTAGTAAACCTTTTATGTTTTGCCTTTTAGTTTCAAACATAATGTCATAAAGAAGTCTAATGTTTTCCGTAATGCATCTTCCTGGAATGAATCCTGTTTGATTTTCGTTTATAAGAAAATTCAAAGTTTTTTTAATCCTGTTTGTTATACAAGTACTTATAACTTTATACAATGCGTTTAGGAGAGAGATAGGTCGCCAATTCTTTAGGTATCTTCTATCCTTACCCGGCTTAGGGATACATGTAATTACTCCTCTATTCATTGTCGTAGTCATAAAATTCTGGTTGAAAGTTTCTTTTATATATCGGTGAATCCAAATTTTCAGATTTTTCCAGAAAAATTTGAAGAATTCGATAGGGAAGCCATCTAAACCTGGACTTTGTTATTTTTCATTGATTTAACAGCATACGAAAGTTCTTCAACACTAATATCGCGCTCTAGTTCATTTGACTGTTCTTTATTTAAAGAAGGAGTAGCAATATGTTCGAATACAGCTTTAATGTCTTCATCTATGTCACAATTTGATTTATACAGGTTTTCATAGAATCACTTTTGTTCCAATATTATTTCTCGTCCATCTGCTATTTCTTCACCATTATCAATAATAAGGGAGTTAATAAGTTTGTTTGTATAGTTTCTATTTTCTAAATGACAAAAATAATTTGTAGGTTTATCCCCTTCTTCATACCACTGGATTCTATTTCTAACTTGGATTCCTTTTATTTCTTCTTCTTTTATTTTTTCCAATTCATTTTAATTTTTAGATAAATCAGCAAAAGTGTTCCATTAACGTTTTGGAAGTTACTTCTTATTTCATCTTCTATATGACATATATTCTCCTCTAGTTCTTTATATTTTGCAGTTCTGCTTTTCTTAAGATATGAAGAGTATGAGATGGATTTTCCTCTAAGTTTCATTAAAAATGTCTCTAAAAATAGAGTGTCACTGATAGTCAAACGTAGGTGTTCATCATTAATCTCGTTTAATTCTTCATCTGAATATGTAGGGTCTGCGTATTCTCGTTTTGTTTCATTAAGTAAGTCAATTACTAGTGTTATATATTCCTCTCATCTCAATAATGATGTGTTAAATAGCCGCGTCACTTTTCCTTATTTTTTTGTGTTGATAAAGATAACGTTACAGCAGAATGGTCACTTTTATAACCAGGTATGATGGATATATTACTATTTATGTTAAAGAGGTCTTCAGTTACCAAGAAGAAATTTTAATCTGGCTTGTTGGCGAGGATTCTTTTTCGACCATGTATACGTTTTTGATTTAGGGTTTAACTCTCTCCATGCGTCTATTAAGTTTAAATTGTCTATTTGGTCCAAGACAGTCTTACGAGCCTGTGGGTTATTAATGTGTTTATAGTTTTCAAGGTCTATGGAGGGGTCTAAGACAAGATTCCAATCTCCACATACTGCAATTGAATCGTTACCCATATTTACAATCTTATCAAATAAATATATATAAAAGGAAGGACTATCAGAGTTCGGTCCATATACATTTGTAAGGGTTAATCTTATGTCATCAACAGTTATATCTAAAATTATGTAATTTCCGTTTTCGTCTTTAGAAACATTGTGTATTTCATATTCAAAATTATTATTTAGAAGAATGGAAACACCTCTTGAGTTGGACTTATATGGAGCAATTTAAAACCCCATTCTAAACCCCATTCAATTCTCATTGTGTTCTCATACTCTGCAGAAATATGTATGTCTTGTAAACATATGATTGAGAATATCTTTTTTCTATATAAATTCATGACTTCTTTACGTTTACCTTTTTCATCTAGGCCTCTACAATTACCTGAAACTATGCTAATTTTGTTATTTGTATCCATAGTTAAAGAATCTTAGAGTAATCGTAACTTGCCTGGTCGTAAATGGTGTTTCTGTATCCAAGTGAAAGTGTTTTTTGTTTATAAAGGTAATAAAGAAAATAAGAACAAAGAAAATTCCGTGGTTGCCACGAGCAATTTTACTGAAGGAGCAGAAGGCTCTGCCTCCCCCATGTTTGTTGAACAAGGAAGGAGGACAATTTCATGGATGGCTTGTAAACTTCTTTATTATAAGTAACATAAAGATTTTATTGTCTATACTTAGTAATTAAGAACCACTACAGCAGACATATACATATTCCTTTATCAGGTGATTGATGAATGATGAATGATTTGCCTGATGAAGGAATATGTATATACTCCGAAACGCTGTTTTCCATCGGTGTACATTGGCAAATGTCTGCTGTAGTGGTTCTTAATTACTAAGTGTAGAAAATAAAATCTTTATGTTACTTATAATAAAGAAGTTGACAAGCCATCCATGAAATTGTCCTCCTTCCTTGTTCAACAAACATTGTAACATGTCATGCATAGTGTACAAAGTCTGCGTTTGACAATAGATCACATATATATATGTCTCCAGACCCGCAAGAGGTACATCTGGAACCGAGCAATGACTTCATTGATGTTGGTGTCGGTGAAGACCTCCGTGTGCAGTGTGTCGTGGATTATGCCAACCCTGCTGTCCACACATTCAGGTGGTCTCACAACGGACGAATAAGCACAGGGTCGACCTTCCTCAAACGTGACATAACCAAGTCTGACCAAGGGCAACTGACCTGTACTGCTGACGATGGGCACATGATGACGCCTGGGCGGGCAGATGCAACTATAAATATAAAATGTAAGGGCAACTGTTTACTTAATATTATTGCTCACTTGATTGATATTGGGAGATGAATTCAGGATTATACTTCAGTTTCATTGCACATGTATTGGAAGCTGTCCTGAACGCCCTGACGTCACATCGGTGCTATAATATTGAAGGTAACGTCATCCTCTGGTCGTTACATCATTTTGTTCAAACAATAAATGTAGTGCCAGTGAATGTAAGAGGTGAACTAGCAATACCCTATTTTACACAAAGATTTAGGGATGCATTCAGAACCACATACTCTTTAAACCAGACCGGTGACCATCAAATGTAGTTGGTTTGCAAATTATAATAACATTCATTTGGCATAAATAGCCCGTTTAGCCTCTAAGGTAATTAGCTATTCTCAATAAAAAAACATAAGGCTGTATGACGAAAGGGATGATGTCAACTCCCCGATAGGCAACATTCCCTTCATGTTGAGCTATTTTTGCTGTTAACAGTTCACAACTTCTGAGGTACATATAAAGAGTGTTGTACAACGCTTGCTCAGAACATGTTCAGTTAAGGTTACAACATTCAAAGCCTCAGTAAAGTCTTCAAAGGTTTTTTATGATAGACATGTCGAGGAGATTTGCTTTTCTTGAACATACTACACTTTTGATAGTGATTCGTAAACACATGCTCATAATATATGAAATTGTATATCTGTACAGTCGATTCTTCATTTGGAAGAAATTTCTTATGGATGTGTTTTTTCCCGCTATTATTTATATACCATCAGACAGATTCTTTTCACGGGTTATAAATGTCTTATGATATTGTGCATTGTGCACTGTGAATGTTTGATGCTGTGGTTATTTTTCAAACCTTGTAAAACATGAACTGGAATCTTGTATCTGACATAAGATCCACCGGAGATCCACCTGTCCACAAGGCGAGATGTCATCAGAGTCACGGCCGGGAATGCTGTTGAAGTTGAATGTGTGGTTGACGATGCAAACCCAGCCGTCAGCTCCTACATGTGGCGTCACAACGGCGATATCAGTTACGGACAGACGTTTCTTAAACTCGTGTCATCTTCTGATTCGGGGAACCTATCGTGCTCTGCTACCAATAGACAAGGGACATCAACAGTTGAAACAAGCATCACAGTCTGTGAGTAGCCCCAATATCGCTGACATGTGTTCTGCCAAGACGTTGAGCAAAACTGAATTTGTGGTTAATGCTTTACCTGATGGTTAAAACAGAATACAGTTCCTTAGTTAGACCTTAGAAGAATATAATGTACAATATAAGCATGTATCAAAAGTCATGTGGAACCAATCAATGACACAATGGTTGTCGTGGTCGGTGATGACGTGCATGTACACTGTGTAGAACATGTCAACTCTTGTACAACATCTGAGGCAAATCTTCCCATACATCTCCACATAGAGTACATTCATTTTTTCACTTTGATAATCTGTTCTCTCTTTTCTGACACAGTGCAAGCTTCCTCTTTGAGCGGTAAGGATAAAGTGATTGCAATAGCAACAGGATCTGTTGGTCTGGCCATCATCATCATCCTCATCATCTTTATTATCTGCCAGAGGAGGAAGATAAACACTGCAAAACGTAAGTGTATTTGTGGTATAACTCGATAACATCAGTGGCATTAAATATGCACATAGCTGCACAGAAAAGACTGCCTTACATTGATACCAACTGTACTATGTACAAAATCCGAGAAGCTCTCGAATGATAGTTCACATTATTTTTCATTGTCCGTGATTTTAATCGTAGCAAATGTGTTCTTTTATCGTATGGCTAACATCTGAAGAAATGATGTAAATTTAGCTGGGGTCCATGCAGGTGGCAAAGGTACTGTAAGTCACCATGGTCCTTAATATTGTGATCTAGCTTCAGTTGTAGATGGCCTATAGCCCGGTTTATATATTGTATTGTCCTGTATTGTAATAAATGTTTTCATGCTTACATGCCTGTCTTAATTTTCTGTCTCTTGTTTTACTGTCCTTTGTTGACAGATTTTGCGAAATAACTTTATTGATTATTAAAGTGTATATTATTGTTGCCACGATAAGGCTGCAATATTGCCGTCGTGACTCTAAATCTTAACTCACTCAATCAGACAAATAATAGTAAATTCTATTGAAAATAGTATTAAATAGTATGGCTCTGAATATGACATTGACAACTGCGTTTTCGTTCCAGCTATTGAGAATCCACAGAGGTGGGTGTATTTTATAGCTAGAATTGTTTAATCAACAGTTAACCTGTGTAACTGGTAAAGCTACTAACAGTTATGGTGATTTTTATACTGAAAATTGCCTTTTTCGCTCTTTATTCACCCAAAAATAGAGTTACGACCCAAAAATGCTATTAAATTTTGAAAGGCTATCTAAAAATGTCTAAAAATGAATTTTATATAAATTACAATAGCTTACTTGTCAGTTAGTGGAGGCCTTTGTCTGTTGTACAGTTATAAAACTTACTGAACTTCTGTAAGTGGAATTTTTGAAGTTGGTAGGATGAAGAAGAATGATGTATATATGAATTAATATATCCTAATGTCTGATAAACGAGAATGTGATTACATGGTTCCCATTTGATTTTGCATGTGTACCAGACCTGCATCGACGCCAAGAGCAGATGATGGAGGAAGCCAACAGAATTACGAGAGTGTGGAACTGCCATTTGGAGGTATAGCACCATTATTATATATATACCCATGCCAATAATGGTTGTCACCCCCTTCAATGTTATTAATAGGCTGGGGGTGACAATCATTATTGGCATGAGTATATATTACAGGTCATGCCGACCATTACCGAGAATATCGGGTGTCCTCATGGATTTTCAGCGATACAGTCATATAATCTTCACCGCTGGTTTGCTAAATACACAATGCAATATGTTTCGGGAGCCAAATTTAGGGAAGACTTTTTTAGCTTGAACAATATGTCTGCTTTGGGAAGTATTTTGTCTGGCATTTTTGCCTTTGGCAAATGAGTTTGTTTTATGTTCCAGCTGCTGAGAATGCGTACTGCGCAATTGGAACGATCCCAAGCAATGGTAATGAACATATCTTTGTAAATATGCAGATATTTTACTTCGCATCTGACATCGATCAACTATATAGCGGCAGGCACAACACATTAAAAGAACATGAAAGCAATACATCTAAAACGTGGGAAGCAGATCTACTACAGCAGTAGCTGGACTAACCACTCTTGGAAATTGCAGTGCCTATGAAATGTACTTCCCGTGAAGATCCAGGTTAGAATTGACCTTCAGCAACCCGTGCTTGTCATAAGGGACGACTAACGGATGGTCAGGCTCGCTGACTTGGTTGACACATGTATCCCTGTGGCATGTTTCCACGCTCACGCTGTTGATCACTGGATTGCCTGATCCAGACTCGACTATTTACAAATCACTGAAACATAGCTGGAATATTGCTGAGTGCGGCGTAAAACTAAACTCACTCACTGTTATTTTTCCGAAGTTAAGTTGAACAAGAAACATATACACCTATGTTACATATAGAATTCAGAAGTCAAACAACAGTATCGTGACCAACCAGTCTTGGAGCTTGCAGTGCCTGTGAATTCTACACAGTAGCCTGGAAATGAAGTCATAACCCAATAGGCAATAGCCAAACAGAAATATAAGTGTTTAGACACGATAGATCAGACGCATCTTATCTCCTGATACATGTTATATATAACTATTTCTACTGTGGAGTCAACCTGTTTAGATCCGGGTTAGAATTGGTTTTCAGCAACCCATGTTTGTCGTAAGAGGCGACTAACGGGATTGGGTGGTCAGGCTCGCTGACTTGATTGACACGTGTCATCGGTTCCCAATTGCGCAGATAGATGCTAATGCTGTTGATCACAGGTTCGCTGATTTGGTTGTTTAGTTGAATCACGTTTGTCACCGCATTAAACATTATGATGACATACCCTTAGTTCTATTATTTCTGAGAAACTTTTCTTTAATGCGCTATATAACATTTGACCCTTTAATAATGACGCCTACTGTATATTCTAACTTAACACAATGTTCTAGATGCTGACCCTGCACATATCTATAGGAGCTTTGGAATTGAAGGTGAAGAAATGTCACAGATAGAAACAGGTAAACTGTCGGCGGTTTGGAACACAATGAATCAGATGATAAATTTAATCGGTCTCTTTCTTTCATGAGACTTCCCGATTCCCAAACGCTTGCTCGCTTGCTCAAGGTCATCCTCGATAATCTCCATGGTATACGTTACGATCACTCTCCACCATTTGTATAGCGTGATCGTAACGTATACCCTGGAGCCTGGAGATTATCGAGGATGGCTCAAGGTGTACTCGGAACCATACAATGGACTCTTTCAGATGAATTCAAAAATAGTTTTATCGCATTTATTTATAATAATAATGATTTGTCACTAGAATTTGTTCATTTGTATACAACCGCCTCCGTGCTGTAGTGGTTAGAGCGTCCGCCCAGAAAGCGGAAGGTTGCGGGCTCGATCCCCGACCGCGTCATACCAAAAAACGTTTAAATATGGTACTTGTTGGTCCCTGCCTAGCGCTCGGCATTAATGGGTACAACAAGAACTGGTCGGCTCGGAGTCAATATAATGTGTCTGAGTTGGGTATTCATGCTTAACTTCGGCATGGTATCTCAGTGAGCTAGCACTATAAAACCAGCTGAAGTCAGTCACACATAAGCACGCACGTCGTCATATGAGCGAAATATTCGTATGACGTTAAACCTCATTTCACCTCAGCTCATTCGTTTCCTGACTGATTACTCTAGGAGGATAACTGTCAAAGAACCACATTAATTTAGTATTTGAAATATTAAAGTGTTAATTTGGGCATATATAAATTATTCAGCATTTCAAGAGTAATTTGATTAAACGGGCCCTCGTGCCGATCAGGATTCTGCAAGAATCAGAACAACGTAAGGTAGTTTGAGATCAGGTAACATACGTTTACCACAAAAATACGATATGGTAAGACCTGTGTTAAACTTATCTTATGGCGCGCGATCTTTTGCTCGGGCACTCGATAGGGAAAAGGGTCCTGGTTAGAATATTGTTCTTCTGTAACCCATGCTTGTCGTAAGAGGCGACTAACGGGATCGGGTGGTCAGGCTCGCCGACTTGGTTGACACATGTCATCGATTCCCAATTGTGCAGATCGATGCTCAAGCTGTTGATCACTGGATTGTTGGTCCAGACTCGATTATTTACAGACCGCCGCGATATAGTTGGAATATTGCTGAGTGCGGCGTAATTCTCAATTCACTCACTCAATCACGATAGAGAAAATCAGTCAAGCCTAAGATCTCCAGGAATAGTTTATCCGTGCCATGACGACACACTAGGTGGTATCAGGTGTACTATTATATATTCAGTAAACTATTTTCATCTTGGGGTCAACCCGTGAAGATTCAGGTGAGAATTGGATTTCAGCACCCATGCTTGTCATAAGAGGCGACTAACGGGGTCAGGTGGTCCGGTTGGCTGACTTGGTTGACACATGTCATCGCAATCGTCACCATTCGCCCCTTTCCGTAACCTCAAAAAAAGACTCGTGCCCCTCTCGATGCATGTTATGTACTTACATACGACAAACCAACAGAACACGCGTAATGATATCCAGTGCCTTGATGAAAAAAATCTTCAGAAGTCGTTCATGGCATTATGTGTTTGTTTAAAATATATATATCGTCAGAACTGTGTCGTCTAAGGTGAAGCTTTTAATAAGGATAATGAGAGTTTAAAATTCACCCACGTGCAGCTCTCATGGGTCCACGTGAATGTATTCCTGTCGATGTTGCGGGCTTGTTTTGGAGATTGTACGTGCGCTTTCCATCATTTTAAAATCTAATTATACTACCTATCAAAAGTTTAGACTGGCTAGCGTAAATGTAGCCACTTACTTCAGTCAACTGATCTAAACTAGATTTTCCAAAAAAATACTATATAGTTTAAAGGTACTGTTTACGCAGGAACTGATGTATTGTAAAACAAATTCGCAACGTTGAAAAGATTCTTGTCATGAGCTCAATAAATGATAAAACTTAGTGACAATTGGTGATTTCTTAACAAAACTTTACACCAAAACGCAGCTGTTCACATGCAGGATACTTGCACATGTTTTTCAGCAATTTGATGCATGATTCTTGTGCAATTCATCTGCATAAGGTTTGCAGTTTGTTCCTTCAAGTTAGTGGAGAAATTCATCTTCGATGTAACTACATATATATATGCAGAACATATAGTGAATGTTTTAAGTGAGTGTTGATGGGTAGTTTCAAAACAATATATTTATACATAATAATAGAATTTAATCTGCAACTTTGGGCTTATATTTGACATCTTTTAGTCTAACGTTTCTGACATAGTCTGATCTTTTTCAGCATTTTCAGTTTAAAATTCCACCAGGGGTATGGCAACAAGGTTATACGAATATTCAGTTTTAATAATATTTTTTAATAAAAGTCATTTTTGAGCAAAAACAAATCTGTTTTGGGATTTAATGTACCTGGCAAAAAATATTTTATATGCATGTTCAATAAAACAAATCCCATTTGTGATTCTTGAGGCCTGTTTAGAAATATACAAGGTGAACAGCTGGTAATAATTACGTTAGAATATGTGTGTAAAATATTTTTTCTCTTTCTTTTACTTGTATCAAAGAGGTTTATTTCGTGAAAAGAAATAATTAAATAATAAATAAAAATCATGCAGTAAAATATACGAATGCTAGTACTAGTGGAATCAAACAGGAACAGAGTTATCGTTCTTGTTTGAAGTAGTTCTGATGTTCATAAAATACTTCCAGAGGGACACGACTCGTTATTCGGCTTGTCACGGAATAACACGAGTACTAACTAGTTGGTCACGAATGGTGTCATCGTTTCCCAATTGTGATGATCGATGCACAATGCTGTTGATCACTGAATGCATCGATCACACTATGGCATTTGGCTAAGTATCAATAACTCCAGATACATTTTCTAAAATATTCAGTTATTTTAATTCCATGTTTTTGAAATTCCTCGAAGATTATAGATCAACATATTTTCTTCAAAACATTGCATAAATTGCAAAATTATTTTGTTTAAACTGACCTGAAAAGAATCTCTTACAATGCTGGAAGTCGGAAAGGAGTTAAGTTCTGGACAATGGCGGTCTCTGCGTCACATCAGACGTTCTGACTGATCTCCTGTTGTTTGGCTGACAGGTTAATTCTGATTTAAGAAATATTGCCAGCACTTCAGCTTCATCACTGATTCACATTAGTAATGTTAGTTAAATTAGCAACTTAGATTGTTAGGGGCGGTTTCCTCAAGGGAGGCTGAAGTACCGTAAAATCATTGTCCTCCTGAGAGGATACGTAAGTCCCAAAACATTCGAAGTACAATTTAATCGTCCACTTTTTACTCGTAGCATTATTGTCATTTTAATTGTTGGTAAATTTGTCTACAAACACCACGGCTGAAGGGATGGTGTAAATCCAGATTGGGTCCATGCAGGTAGCAAAGGTACTGTAAGTCCCCATGGTCCCTAGTATGGTGATCTACCTTCAGTTGTTGGCGATCTATAGCCCGTGTTTTATATTGTATTGTCTTCTTTAATTAAAATGTTTTAGTTTTACATTCATATCTTTGATACTCTTGTATATTTACTGTCCATCGTCGACAGGTTTTACTCTTCCAAATGTTTTCATTTTTTATTGTATAAATTGTTTTCGTAACGATATGGCTGGGATATTGCCGATGTAACGTTAAATATTAACTCACTCACACCATTTTTCCTTCGCAGAGGTCATCTATGAAAACACCATCGTCACGAACTAGTCGCTCTCGTAACTATGGATACCGATATCATCACGTGACCTGGACACACATATCTGCATCAGCGATTAGTATTTACCATAGATGTTAGCACGTAAATACCTTTCGGCTATGTTTACGATTTTCGGCCCCGTGCCGATTCAACAAGACCACTGCATCTTGGCTGTACCTAATTGGCTTCTCTCCCGTTGATCTCGTCTTATTGTTATCATCTTATTGTTATCATCTTATAGTTATCCTCTTATTGTTATCCTCTTATTGTCATGACATCTGACATTACGTTGATTTGTTATATGTACTCCGTGTGATGACTCATTATTCACCTGACGATGGTCAAGAAGTAATTAAAGACAATTTAACATGTTCATGTTCTTCCATGTAAATGTCCAACAATGACCATATGCGTAGCAAGTCTTGATTGTTTTAACCATTTTCATTTAATCCCACAACAATGACAACAGTTGTCAGTTACATACATTGTAGTGATGGTCATTACTTAGTTTTCATTATACATCGCCTTTTCCTTAGAGGGAAAACCTGTTATCATTTGTTTTCTGCTTGATATGTATGATGTGTACCATTTCCTGAGCAACGCAACTGGTAGTCTAGATCATCTATTTTCAGTACCCTGTGACAATTGGCTCCCATAGCCTGTTGTCACATTTCAGTCCAGACGTCTGTGTACTTTACCGAGAAAGTGTAATCTTAAATATACATAACCTATTTTACATTTGAAAACCTTCTAAAAGGCACCTTTGTCGCATGAAAACACAAGAACTCTTTCGTTTAGTTGTTCGCAGTATTTTGTAAAAGTGTATCACTCTGAAACATGATTCCACTTAATGTCTCACTGACAAAAACGTTGACTTAACATAGGTCAAAGAAAGGTTGGTTGGAAAAGTAACACAAGAAGCCATGTTCGATGTTTCATAAGGGTTTGTCAGATGTTGGTACAAGTTGCTACCTCTTCTTCATTGTGTGTGGTTATATGCTCATGTCCTTCCAGTTAAATGTCAGCTATTAACCTCAGTACACAGCAATATATTCCCACGTCATTTTAGTCATTGTCCACAGCAGTTTTGTAATGTAATGATGTATAGTGCACCCTGGTTATAATGTCCCTGGTTATAGTGCATTTTACCTCATTGGTCATTCTCGTGTTCTTCAGTTAAATGTACCCTCGAAATAATGCCATATGTTTGCCAGAACGGATTTCCTGCCTTTATAACACACTAGTTATAATGCTCCTGGTTATAATGCCTAACTGGATATAATGCCATTTGCCAATGTTTCTTGGAAGAAGCGTCATTTTTCCCTGGTTATAATGTCAATTACATTGGCTGTATGTAGTATACATACCTCAACTGGTTACTTGACATGAGCCAAATTAATTGGACAAACTCATTAATGCTTTAAGTAGTCAACACATGTGACAATACACTTCCTGCCATCTACAACAAGTCACTTCCAGTCCCAAGATGCTGGGATTATCCAGTCATTTACGGCATTAAGGCCTATTTGAGAGATGAGATCAGTGACATTTGTTGACAATGGCGTATCCCACCAACCATCCTGTTGAGGTACATTACCTGGTTACACCACACTAGGGACCTGGATATACATTTGCCATATATGGACCACCAAACGTTGAGGCATTTACCTGTAATTAGAAACAGGGTATAACTTTCCACAACAGTTTTCAAAGTTTTCAATTTAATGATGTACATATTAAAGTTAACATTATATTCGTTTTTTATCCCTTTGGTGGTGCTTGTTAACCTTTTTTCTGTATGATATTTTTTTCTGTATGATATTATATATATATATGTATGTATATATATATTTCTTCTATCATGAAAAGGTAGACATGTTTAGTATCCCGATTATTTAGTGATATTGTATCGTTCTGAAACTCATTTTATTGTTGACCAAAAAATAACGACCACCCCGTCAAAAAAATAAAAAATCCCAGCATGAACACGAGGTCTCATACAGGTTGATTGGATGTTAAAGCATTCACATTTATGATTTCCCATGAAGTGTATTTACCTATATTTGCCCCATATACTTTTATTTCATTCCTCAAACATCATTATTGGATTAATAATTAAAGCTTCTTTCATTTTTTCGATATTTGTTTGTTATTTAACGCTGTATCAGCAAAACTAAGGCGGTCTGTTAATAACCGAGTCTGGACCAGACAGTCTAGAGATTTAAATCCTGCGCATGAACAATTGGAATACAATGACATGTATCCATCAAGTCAGGTATCCTGACCACCCAATCGCGTCAGTAAAGCATGGTTTGCTGAAGACTTTAACCCGCCTCCGTCATCGTATACGATGTCCCATCCATCTTTGATACATCTGTCAATATATACGATGTCACACGCATCTCTCACACATACCTGTCAATATACGATGTCCCATCCATCCCACACACATGCCGTCAATACATACGATGTCCCATCCCCTTCATACACATGCCGTCAAATATACGATGTACCACCCATCCTTCATATATAGTGTCAATATATACGATGTTCCAATCCGTCAATATACGATCCGTACATCTATACCGTCAATATATACGATGTCCAATCCATCCTTCACAAATGTCAATATATACGATATATACCATCCTTCACAATGTCCGTTAATATATACGACACACACCATCAATAAATATATATACAATATACCCATCCTTCACACACAATGTCAATATATACGATGTCACCCATCCTTCACACACATGTCAATATATACGATGTCCCCCCCCAAACAATATATACGATTCACAAACACACATCAATATAAACGATGTCCAACCATCCTTCACACACACCGTCAATATATACGATGTCCCACCCATCCTTCACACATAATGTCAATATATACGATGTACCACCCATCCTTCACACACACTGTCAATATATACGATGTCCCACCCATCCTTCACACACACTGTCAATATATACGATGTCCCACCCATCCTTCACACATAATGTCAATATATACGATGTCCCACCCATCCTTCACACACACCGTCAATATATACGATGTACCACACCATCCTTCACACACACCGTCAATATATACGATGTCCCAACCATCCCACATAATGTCAATATATACGATACCCAACCATCCTTCACACACACCGTCAATATATACGATGTCCAACCCATCCATCACACACAATCACATATATACGAATGTCAATATATACGATGTACCACCATCCTTCACACACACCGTCAATATATACGATGTACCAACCATCCATCCTTCACATACATGTCAATATATACGATGTCCCACCCATCCTTCACACACACCGTCAATATATACGATGTACCACCCATCCTTCACACACAATGTCAATATATACGATGTACCCACCATCCTTCACACACACCGTCAATATATACGATGTACCACCCATCCTTCACACACACATGTCAATATATACGATGTACCAACCATCCTTCACACACACCGTCAATATATACGATGATCCTTACGATGTAACACCATCAATATATACGATGCCCTACCCATCCTTCACACACACCGTCAATATATACGATGTCCCACCCATCCTTCACACATAATGTCAATATATACGATGCCCGACCCATCCATCACACACACCGTCAATATATACGATGTCCCACTCATCCTTCCAACACACCGTCAATATATACGATGTCCCAACCATCCTTCACACATAATGTCAATATATACGATGCCCAACCCATCCATCACACACACCGATAATATATACGATGCCCAAACCATCAAGCACACACGCCGTTAATATATACGGTGTAACAACCCTCCTTCACGCACATCCACACATAATGTCAATATATACGATGTCCCACCCATCCTTCACACACACACGTCGTCAATATATACGATGTACCAACCATCCTTCACACACAATGTCAATATATACGATGTCCCATCCATCCTTCACACACACCGTCAATATATACGATGTTCCACCCATCCTTCACACACACCGTCAATATATACGATGTACCACCCATCCTTCACACACACACCGTCAATATATACGATGTACCAACCATCCTTCACACACACCGTTAATATATACGATGCCCCACCCATCCTTCACACACACCGTCAATATATACGATGTCCCACCCATCCTTCACACATAATGTCAATATATACGATGTCCAACCCATCTTTCACACATAATATCAATATATACGATGTACCACTCGTCCTTCACACACACCGTCAATATATACGATGTCCCATCCATCCTTCACACACACCGTCAATATATACGATGTCCCACCCATCCTTCACACACACCGTCAATATATACGATGTACCAACCATCCTTCACACACACACGTCAATATATACGATGTACCAACCATCCTTCACACACACCGTCAATATATACGATGTCCCACCCATCCTTCACACACACCGTCAATATATACGATGTCCCACCCATCCTTCACACATAATGTCAATATATACGATGTCCCACCCATCTTTCACACATAATATCAATATATACGATGTACCACTCGTCCTTCACACACACCGTCAATATATACGATGTCCCATCCATCCTTCACACACACCGTTAATATATACGATGTTCCACCCATCCTTCGCATACACACCGTCAATATACACGATGTACCAACCATCCTCCACACACCCTTAATATATACGATGTCCCACCCATCCTCCAAATACACACACCGTCAATATACACGATGTCCCGCCCATCCTTCACACACAAACCGTCAATATATAGGATGTACTAACCATCCTTCACACAAACCGTCAATATATACGTTGTCCCGCCCATCCTTGACACACCGTCAATATATACGTTGTCACGCCCATCCTTCATATACACCTTCAATATATACGATGACCCGCCATCCTTCACACACACCGTCAATATATACGATGTACCAACCGTCCTTCACACACACCGTCAATATATACGATCTCCCAACTATCCTTCACACATAATGTCAATATATACGATGTACCAACCGTCCTTCACACACACCGTCAATATATACGATCTCCCAACTATCCTTCACACATAATGTCAATATATACGACGACCCGCCATCCTTCACACACACCGTCAATATATACGATGTACCAACCCTCCTTCAAACACACACACCGTCAATATAAACAATGTCCCACCCATCTTTCACACACACCTTTAATGTATACGATGTACCAACCATCCTTCACACACACCATCAATATATACGATGTACCAACCATCCTTCACACAGACCGTTAATATATACGATGCCCTACCCATCCTTCACACACACCGTCAATATATACGATGTACCAACCATCCTTCACACACACCGTCCATATATACGATGTCCCAACTATCCTTCACACATAATGTCAATATATACGATGTTCCATCCATCCTTCACATACACCGTTAATATATACGATGTCCCACCCATCCTTCACATACACCGTCAATATATACGATGTCCCGCAATCCTTCACACACACCGTCAATATATACGATGTACCAACCCTCCTTCAAACACACACACCGTCAATATATACGATGTACAAACCATCCTTCACACACACCGTCAATATATACCATGTCCCAACTATCCTTCACACATAATGTCAATATATACGATGTCCCACCCATCCTTCACATACACCGTCAATATATACGATGTACCAACCATCCTTCACACACACCGGCCATATATACGATGTCCCAACTATCCTTCACACATAATGTCAATATATACGATGTCCCAACTATCCTTCACATGTCAATATATACGAATGTCAATATATACGATGTCCCAACTATCCTTCACACATTATGTCAATATATACGATGACCAACCATCCTTCACACACACCGTCAATATATACGATGTACCAACCCTCCTTCAAACACACACACCGTCAATATAAACAATGTCCCACCCATCTTCACACACACACACATGTCAATATATACGATGTACCAACCATCCTTCACACACACACACCATCAATATATACGATGTACCAACCATGTCCATCCTCACACACACCGTTAATATATACGATGCCCTACCCATCCTTCACACACACCGTCAATATATACGATGTACCAACCATCCTTCACACACACCGTCAATATATACGATGTCCCAACTATCCTTCACACATAATGTCAATATATACGATGTACCAACCATCCTTCACACACACCGTTAATATATACGATGCCCTACCCATCCTTCACACACACTGTCAGTATAAACAATGTCCCACCCATCCTTCACACACACCTTTAATATATACGATGTACCAACCATCCTTCACACACACCATCAATATATACGATGTACCAACCATCCTTCACACACACCGTTAATATATACGATGCCCTACCCATCCTTCACACACACCGTCAATATAAACGATGTCCCAGCTATCCTTCACACATAATGTCAATATACACGATGTCCCATCTATCCTTCACACAAACCGTCAATATATACGTTGTCCCGCCCATCCTTGACACACACCGTCAATATATATGATGTTCCGCCCATCCTTCACATACACCGTCAATATATACGATGTCCCGCCATCCTTCACACACACCGTCAATATATACGATGTACCAACCCTCCTTCAAACACACACAGTCAATATATACGATGAACCACCCATCCTTCACACACACCGTCAATAATTATCAAATGTACGAAACATATTCCGCACATGCTCCAAATTTGCTGATTTTCACGTTAATGACTTACTCAGTAACTACCGTTTTCGTCCCCCTTTATTGAGTGTGCTGTTCCAATATTGACCTACGTCATCCGTAAGCTGGAGCAAAGTTCTCCAACCTACTCCTTCCCCAAACTGTTCAGTCACTCATGTATCTCGGCGTTTGCGTCGGTAGGGAGATAAGAACAGGCTTGACAAAGACGGTGTCAATCATACAACTTATGTTCACATCTATCAAGGTGTTATCTTAACAGTTCTCTACAGTGGCAAGACACGACCACACGGGAGTCAACAAGCAGATAGGACACAACTATGAAATATGTGGTTTTGGAACGAACAGTCCATGACAAAGGTTATTTTGAGATTTCAGTGATGGGGCAAAAGAAACGCGAAACGCCTGAAACGAACTTGCTAGCCAGAATGAAGCATAATGATGCTGAAAACAATTCGTCGATATTCGTTATGAAATATGCTAAGTATTGTACTGGGTTAACGGGATGATTAATATTTGTAGGATTTTGTTATCATCGGATATTGGTTTTTCGAACGTAACGAATTAAAATTTTGTTTAGACGCCAACTTTTAAAGTAAGGAAAATATATGTCAGCTATGTTCCTTTTTGGTCGTAGCCACTGGTATTATTTGAAGTGCGTCTAGCGATCTACACTTACAACGAACTAATGTTTTGGTCCCTTTGTGTTCGATACTGTTCATAGTCCGAATTCTGTATTCGGAAAGTATGTCAGATGTGTAGTGTCAGGATGATTGCAAACCAAATCACATATATGTATTACAACACGTATTAAAATACAAGCTGGAGGGGTTGTCATACGCGTTTCTATAGCCATTTGTTTTTATCTTGAATACGGTAATAGCAGGTTCCTTCACTGCCATTGTTTGATCTGACGTTTATCCTCGATGGATTTAAGAAGGTGGTTACTGTCGTTAGTGTTTTCCTGAGTCATGTCCTTTTTGGGTGTAGTTGGCACGCTAGGCACCTTGAACTAGTGTTCGAATCCCAGTTGGCCCTGATTGTGGTTAGTGTCTAGCTTCACTCTCCCCTCCGCTCTCCCCTTGACACACACGTACCGCAAACACGCACACACGCACACACACACACACACACACACACACACACACACACACACACACACACACACACACCACTCATCCCTTTGACATGTAACAACCCACACTACTCCGTAATGAGCTCGCCTTTACACCTACCTATGAGTCTGGTTTATGAACCGGTTTGTTTAATTGTAGCTGCCTTAACGTTTGCCTAGCGATCAGTCAGTCAGAGGTCCAAGCAGCAAAAGTCGAATGTGTTGTGTGTGAATGTGTGGAGCTTTTAGCTGAAGGACATGGTAAGGATCCGATGGATGTCACCTTGTCAGTGATCAGAACCTAATGTGTGTCCTTTCTTGGAGAAAGGTCGATGGAGTGTGTAAAGTGATCCAACAAGTGTTTGATGAAACGATTATTCAACGTGGCCACTTATGGAAACTGTCAACCATTCCCTGCATAAACCGGACGCGGTGATTCTGTGAGGATATGTGACTGTCTGTGTAAGTACAATTCACATGTTGTCAGGCTATGCTGTTTTCTCTGCCTCTTTTCTTATGTCAGCTTCTATAAACAAACATCTGTTATCCGCTGTCTTCATCTGTGCCTTTGACCTGTTCGTGTACTACGACTTCGAGCTCAGATACCCTGCTAACATGCTTGCCCTGTATCCTTGACTGCTTCCTGCCCTTTCAGAATTCTCCTGCCTGCTTGGCATGTCTGTTTGATACGCCGCCCTGAACCGGCAACTTTCAGTTTCCTTGGTCAAAGACTTGATCTGCTTACCTGTACATCCGAGACATTAGCCGACTTCATCTCTTGTTTGAAGTCTTTCCTCAGGCTTCTTGCTGACATTTCTCAGTCTGCCACTTTGATCTTTTTTGCTCCAACGTCTTGATCAGCTCCCTTGTTCAGTTTTCTTGTTCAGTCTTCTTCCCTAGCCTCCTTGCTCAATCTCGCTGCCCAGCATCCTTGCTCAGTAATCGTGCTCAGCCTTCTTGTTCAGACAGCCTCCCCTGTCTCCTTGCTTAGCCTCCTTGCTTAGAAACCTTGCTCAGTAGTATTCAACATGGCAAGCATGAGCCAGCTAGCTGACGACATTTTCACATGTACATTATGTGTGGAGAAATTCCGAGAACCAAGAACACTCCCTTGTTTACACACATTCTGCCGATCCTGCCTTGGTCTCTACATCCGCCAAACAATGGTCAAAGGGACTTTCATGTGTCCACTCTGTGGTCAAGAAACAAAATCAGAGGTCAGTGGGTTATCTGTCGAACAGTGGATGGAGACTTTCGTGGCCAACCATTTCATCGTTAGTCTGTTAAAGATCTCAGAGACGAGACAAAATGAGAAGTCATGTGATATATGCAAGCAAGAACATGTTCTTGTCGAGGCAGTCAGTTGGTGTAAGGAATGTCTGGAAGCATTGTGTGAAGAGTGTGAACGCGTCCATGGCCGGAGCAAGGCTTCGCGAGATCACCACACCGTCAGCATTGAATATCTTGAAAACGAAGGTCTTGATAAACTTTTGAGGCCAAAACGAGGACCACTTGACTGTGGGGATCACAAGGGAAAACCTCTGTCTATGGTTTGTTTGAATTGTAAGAAATTTGTCTGCGAAACCTGCACAGCCGTGGCACATGCTAGTTGTAGACAGATACAGACAGCTGATAAAGTTTTCACTGATCTCAAGAAAGACATCACCGTTGCAAAGGATAGCATTACATCTTTTCGTCGGTCAGCCCAGAACCTTTCTAACAACTCCCAGGAACATCTTGAAAGTCTGACCAAGTCCCGCGATGAAGTTTTGGAAGATATATCGGACTATGTTAAGGCCATGATGGACCTCATTCTGGAGAAACGAAACAAACTGGTTGCTGAGGTTGAGACAATGTACGAGAAACAAAGAGAAAACATCTCCGAGCGCGTCTTGAATGGCGACGTCCGGATCAATTCTCTCCGTAAGTCCGAAAAATTCCTTGACCAACTTCTGATGTATGGCTCGGAGGTGGACGTTCTGAACAATTTCGACAACATCGCCAAACAGATCCAGATCCTCAACAAACAGGTACCAGTGGTCAATCAGGCCAGAGACTCAGTGCAGATGAAGTTCCTTTGTGATAGAAAGAGCGTTGATTCACTTCGTTCTTTGCCTTCACTGGGTGAAGTTAGAGTTGTAAAGGCAAGTAAGCCGTCACTTAAAACAAAACCTGAAGCTGCGTTGGCTCTTCCTCCTCCCCAAAAAGCATCCGTACCATCTAAAAGGTTATCCTCTCCGAGGAAGACTCCTGGTTCAACAAGGAGAACACCCCGGACACGGCTCGTGTCTTCCTTCTCAGGACGGTCTAGGAACGACACAATGAAGACGGACATAAGAGGCGTCCTCCTTCTGAAGTCTGGAGACGTAGTTGTCATGGACGTCCACTTCAGGAACAAACGCCTTAAGAAGTTTACACCTCGTGGAAAGCTTGTGTCTGAAGTAGATCTTGGTGATTGTCCCCACTCTATAGCACTTGTGTCGCAGACAGAAGCGGTTCTCACTCTTCCGAAGTCAAGGGAGTTTGCGTTCGTCACCGTCGGAGGAACTTTACACCTTACTGGTAAAATAAAGACTCGGAAGAGTTACTTCAGTTTGTCTTCATCATATGAGCAGGTTCTGGCCACTGTTGGGTTATCTGCCCCTGATGTACTTTCCATCGACGTCATTTCTTGCAATGGAGACATCCTCAATACAGTATCACTGGATAGAGCTAAGTTTCATCGAATACCACTTGACCTCACATTGTCCCCAAGCGGCGATCTTATACTTCTGTGTCCAGGCCGAGATGTACTGACCTGCATCAACATGACAGGGGATGTACTTTACACATACCAGCCCTCCAAAGCTCAGGAGGTGAAGGGCGCTGTCAATGTCACCACTGACACACAAGGTCGTACACTGCTCGTCGACAAGGCGTCCAGTAAGATACACGTCATTTCCGGTGACGGTATCCACCAAGGGGAGCTGCTCAGTCGACGGGACGGTCTTCATGAACCCCAGGCAGCAGTTGTTGGAGACTCCGGTGTAACTGTCGTCGCCCAGACTAATGGTGAAATCAAACTCTTTGCTACTGCAAAGACTATATAAGAGCTGAGGAGTTTAGAGCTATAGTTCCTTTGACAATCACACAAGGAACAGACCTTTCAAAATTAAAAATCGAAAAGAAATTCCCAGAAATATTCACTAGAGAGAACATATTTTTCTTAATTTCAGTAGAGAGTGTTCTTGCATTCCGAAATGTGGAGACAAAACATATTGTTTCGTAGGAAACGCTTAGGGACTCATCAGTCACAGTCTTAGGGGTACATGTGTGAAAGTTTGTGTTAGTGAAACTACTTCAATAGTGACTCAAAATCAGCTACTCCGCCTACATTCAGTTAAAAGCTACCTGTTAAAAACAAATTATTGCTCTTTTAAATTTTGGAATGATGAATTAAACGTTGACTAAATTACAAACCTTGCTCAGTCCGTATATCCCTTCCAACTTGATGAAACCCGTGAAGATCCGGGGTAGAATAGGTCTTCAGCAACCCATGCTTGCCACAAAAGGCGACTATGCTTGTCGTAAGAGGCGACTAACGGGATCGGGTGGTCAGGCTCGCTGACTTGGTTCCCATTTGCGCAGATCGATGCTCTTGCTGTTGATCACCGGATTGCCTGGTCCAGACTCGATTATTTACAGACCGCCGCCATATAGCTGCAATATTGCTGAGTGCGGGGTAAAACTAAACTAACTCACTCAAACTTAATGAAGCTACCTTGTCAGCTTGCTGACGGGTTAACCTCATTGGTTATGTGGACAAGGCGTCCGACTTCAGATTAGAAGGTCCGTGATTCGAATCCCTGCACAGGATTGGGATATTTTATGGCTGACACACTGAAACACTGTTATGGCATCAGCGACAGGATAAATGCAACACAGCACTATATTGAAATAGTGTAAGTATGTGTTTAATAAGTTCCTACAGTAACAATCATTTTCCCTTCCACTGTGATTCCCGGTTGCATTTTACGGTACTTTAGATCTCAGATTTTAAAACTAGCACAACACTAGTCTGTTTGTATTATTGTAAGGCTTAATGTTATGATAACTTGGTTAGTACTGCCAAGTGATAGCTCGTGACGCCAAAGGCTTGGTTCGATTCTCCCACATTGTTGTGAAGGCTATTTCTGGTATCTCCAGGGATAACACAGAGGGAATATTGCTGATTGTCAACACACACCTTCAATCCGTATGGTCGTCTTAGAAATTACTGTGTTTCTTCTTGATGACCAGGCACCATTACAGAGCAGAGAACAAGGTTTGCACACACTGCACTAGCCATGATTCCTTCCAGGGGAATCTACAATGAAATATACATCTGGCAGAGGGTATTCGGTGACAATCAAAAACCAAGTAGGCAATATACAGTTCTGGAAATATCTTGTAAGTAACAATTTATACAGGAGCTCTGTGTCAGTTGGGGGAGCAATAGATATATTACCATAGGTTGCAAACCAAGTTGCGTGTTAATGTAAGAAACTTCCGTTAGACCAAGCACAAGATACAATTACAAAAGACAAAGATTTCATCTTCTGTTCTTCATCACATTTCACTGTTGTTCGTCCCAGAACATTCTTACATTATGAAAACAACTAATTTTGTTAATGTTCTTGCTTTCATTGGATGAGTTGGGTTCATTCCCTAACTGTACTGACATGACATGATTATAAAATTATATTACCTGGCCAAACAGTTGACTATCCTCTCTTAAGCTTGGTATGTGATCCACTGACATGGCCAGGTGCACAAGTATGGCTAAAATAAGCAATGACAATGACAAAATCCCAGTAAATACATGTACATGACCTCACATTATTCTTACCACGTGTTTGCCCTGTCATCATGGTAATTTGTTTTGAAATATTTTCTGAAAAGAGCGGGAGGGGTCATCGATGACCAAATACTTCCTGGTTACGTAATTAAATTATCCCAAGTAATTTATAATTTTATCACTATGGACTCTCAAATCACTTGTAACGATTATCCCTGGCTCAATTCCATCAGGCGTATCCTAAATAATGTAGGACTAAGTCATGTTCTAAACAATCCACCTGGGTATTCCACTCCATGAATTGTCTCAAATGTTGAACGAATCCTTAAAGATTGGTCTTTTTTAAATTAGAGAGAAAATATCATGGCAAGCCCTAATGGCTTTTATTATCGATGCTACAAACACTCCCCTGAGTTTGAAATATATCTTCTCCTTCCTAAAGCTATATCACAGCAACTTTTGTCATTCCGAACATGAAACCATAACCTACCGGTTGAGACTTGCCGCTGGAGTGGAGTACCCAGAGAAGAGCGACTTTGCCCTCTCTGCAGTTCACCAGCAGTTGTAGATGAGTTCCCGTATCTGTTTAAAATGTGAAGCCTTCATTTCCGAAAGATCCATTTTTATCCCAAAAAAAACTTTCTACAATGGTCGAATCTCCCAAAAATGGCGAACCTTCTCAAATCCAAAAGAGCCAACATTTTACTTAACTATATATTAGAATTGTTTCCAAAAACCTCAAACTAAAAATCTAATTTGTAACATTTACGTTTTTTCAATTAGTTATAATATATCTTTGTATATGTATTATAAATGATGTCGGTGTCACTTTGAACATCCCTGCTGTTTTGGTATTTATTGTATTCATTTGCATATATTTGTATCATGTACCACCGTTGGTGGGGTTTTGAGAAATGAAGATGATGAAGATTTTACAACATATTGGAACAGTGTAACTTACCTAGTGAATGCTCCCTTGTATGCTAAACAATGGAAGGTATCATAGTACATTAACATAAAATTGAAGAACAATCAGGTCCAACTTATTCTATATAGTTTCTGCAATTCTTCAGGCCTCCAAACCAAAATACATTTCTTGTAATTCTGTAGGCTGCCAAACGGATTACAATTGGGCTAGGACGTCTCCTCCTAGCTTGTTGTCTGCTTAACTCCAGTCAAGGCCTCGGGAAGTGACCCGCAGTTCACAAAACGCAGCCTCAGCGAAAATTGACCTTCTATCGTAGACATGTCCTGGGATGGATACATCTATACATCAGAAACAGTCAACTAACTCAGAACCAGCTGTTAAACCAAGTGCAAACACTGCACAAATGATTGTAAGCTGTTAGACCTTCAGTTCACATTTATTTACCAAATAATATATACGAAGAAAGAACCATTAAGGATGAAGCTAGTTGATAATGATACATGTAATTTTTGTAAAAATACCTCAGAAGACATATCGCATGAATTTATTGACTGAGATTTGGTAAAAAACTTTTGGCATACTGTGGAACATTTTTAAATACCCATCTCCGATGTCTCATTTACAAAATTCATTACCATGTTTGGGGTGTGCTCAACCAATAACGTACTAAATTTTATTATACTTCTGCCAAAAAGATTCATTTATGTTTCAAGTATTAAACAACGTGCTTTTTCCCTCGAGGAATGTCTTAAGTTATTAAAAGATATATGTACAACTGAAAAATATATAGCTAGGAAAAATAATAGCTTACAGCTTGTTCAGCTTGACCTGAGGTACTCAACATATGCATGACCCGGGAGGTCAAATGACAAAAACGGCGGGTCGAGTTAACTTCATTAAATAGGGGAGCAGAGAATGTAATAAATGCTGCGTTTGTGCGAAGCATGCATACATGGATTCGTTACAGAACTTGTTCCGAAAAACAACACTTCTGAAAAAATAATCATTTCATGTCTTAATTGCATTGTTTATACAGTCATAATGCTATACTATCTAGCTTGGTTTACTAACTTCACAACGCACAGACGTCAGTTACTTTCACAATCCGAGTCACTCTCGCTAATACCCTCTACACCCAGTTCAATTATCACTTTTCCCATTTCATCAATCGGGAACATTAAACCATCGGTAGCTTCTTTTTTAAAGAAAGTTGGGATATTGCTGACGATTTTCGACGCTAAGATGTCAAACGGCGACCTTGTCTCGGCTGTTCGGACATGTTGACAATCAACTGACAAAGGTGCACCCCTTCACAATAATAGACCCAACCAGTTGTGACACGGTCACGCAATGCATTAGTATTCAGTTCATCAGGTCAAGCTGAACAAGCTGAACCTTTATAAGGAAGTGTAAACATTTATCTGCCTTATTATGTACTGAGCATTGAAGCGCTCTTAAAATATCGATTGATATTTCCAGTCTCCACTCACTACAATCACACTATTCAACCTCATTCCTCAATGTTATCTACCCTCCGCAGAAACTTTAACAATATTTTATGTATTTCTGTTATAACCCTACAGACCCTCAGTGATGTCCCATTTATAGTCTTTTATGTCACATGTAATATTATTGTGAATTGAACTGTAAAAAAGCTACTAATCAAACAGTGAAACTTCTAAAAAGAACCAAAGTGGAAGAACCCGAAAAGGGGCGAATAACCATATCCAAATCTTCGATAAATTTGGATCCCTTGATGACAAGCTTGTCGCCCCCAAGGAAGGTGAGGGGTAGATCTCCTGTCCATCCACTGAAGACATAGTGTCCTCACCTATAATACAATGGAATAGTAATTTAAAAGGACGTAGGAGTCATTTATATGCTTTACAGTTATTAGTCCAAGGTTTTAAACCGTCAGCTTTCTCCATACAAGAAACCTATCTGCAACAGACAAATGATTTTGACCCACGTCACTTGAAGGCTTATCATCATTTTTTCCCTCCAGGTGATAGAGCTACAGGTGGATCATCACTTCTGGTAAGGCGAAATTGTAGTCGTAGCCCAGTTATACTCACAAAAAAGCCCCAAGACGTTGCTATGAGACTCCCATTGCACGTTGCATTTACTTTGTGCCCCCGTACATTCCACCTTCATCTGCTCTTCAACAATCTGCTCTTCAGAGCCTGTATGTGCAGCTACCCAAGCCATCTACCATCATGAGCGATTTGAACGGGCACAGCCTTCTGTAGGGAAGTACAAGTACAAACAATAAACGCAAAGTTATTGAAGATTTTATCTCTGATAATAATTTATGTGTTTTTAAAGATAATTCAAGCACCTTACAC